TATCCGTATTGAATGGTGCTTTGAGCAGCATGGTGATGATTTCTAAATCTTTGAAAAATCTGTAAGAAAATTCAAAACAATCAACGTATGTGGCTTTGTTTTCTTTTACAGTGGATTTGAGCCTTGAAACTTCTGTTAGGTAAAAGAGAAAATAAAACTGTCCATGTGCACTTTTCCCTCTTTTCTGCTTGCTCGTAAGAGAGTATTGTTTTTTGATTTCGCGGCTACTACACCTATCCATCGGTGTTTGATCTTCTTTTTCTTTTAGTGACGGACGTTATTTGAATAGAAACCAAACACTGGATGATAGCATCAACGCTATTAATAAACATTAGAAATGATCGAATTTATGCAACTTACTCACCGTATATCCTGATTGGACTACACTACACGGTTGTTGACTATATCCTGATCGGGATATGAGACATATGTCCTAATTGTATAATCCACGAATCATAGACATTTTTCTATTCTATTCTGCAAGAAAGAAAAACGTATCGAATAATTTTCCTTTAAAAAAAATTCATAACCTACTCAGAATCAAAGACTACAAAATAAAGAGATGATTGAAGATTTATCTGTGTCTATGATAAATGATGTAACTAAGAACTAACCAACTTGATTGTTTTGAATTTTCTTACAGATTTTTCAAAAGATTTAGAAATCATCACCATGCTGCTCAAAGCACCATTCAATACGGATAATTAAAAAAAGGAAAGAAAGATGTTTAATATTTAAAACACTCACAGCAACAACTATTTCAATTGCTGTATTTTTAAACCACTTCACTACACGATGATTGTTTGTGTCGCATATATAAACAATTCCATTCTTGTCGACATAAAATGAGGCAGAAAAATTAAGTTGTTTAGTTGAATTCTCTTCACCATTTCCAGCAGCTACTGTAACACCAATAGAAGAATCCTTAATAAATTTTTGTACACGAAAGTTACCACTATCCAAAACATATAAATCTCCATTTCTGTTATCGATGTGAACATCTGTGGGAGATCACAATTGATTTGATCCCTTCCCAGAATCACCATTAGGACCAATAATTTGACCAGTTGCAGCTCCAACATTCCATTTCAAAATACGATTGTTGCCAAAATCAGGAATGTAAAAACTACTATTGTAATCCATCGAAAAATTAGGCAGATAGGATGATGAATCAAAATTCGAACTATAAACATTAAGATCAATAAGATTTTTAAAACATCCAGATTGTTCTAAAACAACTTATAAATTATATCTATATCTTTGTCAATCAAATAGTCTTACGGAGAAACCTATTAGTGGCGTAGTCACCGGGTGGGTTGGAGTAAGCTCAGCCCACCGATTAATTGGTTTCGCTCACCCACCAAAGGTTTTATAATGCACACTACTCTCCAAAAGTTTCTTATACTGCTGCCACTTTGAAAAAATTTGGGGCAATGCCCATTCACTAACAAAATCCTGGTTACGCCACTAAAACCTATAGCAGGGTGTGATCACTTTAAATTAAAATATATGTGACTTTGTATAGGATTGCACGCTAATTATGAAGGTGTATGTTTTACGTTCACATATTGAAACTAAGGGGAAAACAACAAAAATTTTATTTAAATAGTAGATGGTAAAAAACTGTTCTCTGTCAGCTACTTTAGTAATCTTTTGTGAGTGAGGCAATTTGTTTCAAAATGAGGTAGCAATACACCAAGCGTGACATGATGCTTATTTCGTTCTAAAATTTTAAAAACTATGCTACGGGATAGAGAATTGAATCGTCTACAAAATGCAGTATTTCATTTGAAATTTGAACATTGGAAAAAATATTCAAAAACAAAGAACTTTTTACCATTTTTCACTATTTTCTGACGAAATTATTTTGGGGCTCTTTTTCTAAGCGAGTTTTAAAAGTTTTAACAAAAAGATTTGAGTTTCTCTTTGAGTGCATCATGTGCAGGAAAGTTGATAGTATATGTGCAGATTAAAATTACATATTTTTACTTTGTCTAGCATCCTGAAGCTAAAACAAGCAAACGAAATAGAGATTCCGAAAGCCCAAGAAACAGTGCACACACTTATAAGTGACACTTTAAGTGCCACGTTTGTTTTTCTGTTTTGAACAAGATTTGAGCAGTAGTGATTGCTAATTTTTCCTAGTTATGGGTAAGAAAATGGAACTCATTTCACTTTTTGCTACCCATAAATTACATGATATTGGAAGTTTATGTTGCTGTATGAAAAGAAGGCTAGAGATGTATGATATCTTTTTTCTTGTACATACTTTTATGCACATGCATGTGCTACTCTCTAAAAGAAAAAGGTACTCTACCGAACCTAAAAAAGGTTTAAACTTTTGTCACCATCTATATACATTTTTAAGGTTTCGTACAAACTATATACCGTTTTCTTTAGCTAAATTCGTGACTGGGGGAAGCTTGGGAACACTGAGAAAACACTTTTTTTCGTGTTTTTACACAAATTTTTTCTAGTGATGGATTCAGGGTGCTGTACGAAATCTTAAACCGTAGTCTGTATGAAACCTTAAAAAGGTATATAGATGGTGAAAAGCTTGAACCCTTTTTAGGTTCGATAGAGTACTTTTTTTTTAGAGAATAGAACTATTAGGCTGTTAGGTCTGAGCTAGAGACTGTTATGCCAACTAATATTCTTCCTTGATAACTGCCCTTATTTAGCTTTAAACGTTCGATTTTGTTGCAACTATTTTATTCTTCTCAAGTAAAATTATCAGAATTATGTATAAAAAGAAAAGAGAGAAAACAGACGAAAAAATAAGATAGATACTTTACTCGATGACGTTATTTCGAGTGAACAGCAGTATCCATAACTGCACGAACGATTGGTAATAAAGAAAGAGAAAGACTGTAATAAATCCATCGCCCGTCTATACATAGTAAAATAACAATAGTAAAAAGAAAGAGAAAAATAACTATTGTCGTGTCACTAAACCGGCTGATCTATATCGAAAGAAATAGTTACGGTATAGAAATAGTTTTCGGTTTTTTACTGACATTTGTAGATGCTTTCTAACGTTGTTCATTAAAATGATGAAAACAAACAGACTCGTATGAATGATGAAAACAAACAGACGCGGAACATCCGCACTCCATACATTGTATATTTCGGATCATATAGGATTGAATTTTTGACTTTCCAGGAAGATGCGGAATCTAAAATATCACTTAATCACTTAAGTGACATTTCAGTACTTAAACACTTAAAGTGACACTTAACTCTGAGGTCCACACATTTAAAGGAAAACAATGCAACTCTATCACTCAATTGAAAAAATATTTTGAAAAAACGAGATATCAGAGCTCAAAAGGTTATCATCGTTGACGATTATACTGTGTAATCAATTTTTTGCAAGCTGGATCTCAAATGTTAACAGTCAATGATATTAGGTATGCAACGGTTACGGTTACCGTAAATAACCGCTTTATAACAACTTAGTGTATGTTTGGTTTTTAGTTCTTTAATATCGGTTTACATTAGAAGTAGACGAGGATGGTCTTTGTCCTGACATTATAGTGCATCTGCTATAGTGACAGTCTACACTACGTTGCACAAAAACGGCTGTTAAGTGGCGGCATCTCATCAATCAATGTTTGTCAGAGTATATATGACCTTTTTTGGCAAAATTATAGAGTTTACAAGAAAAGCCCTAAATTTCTTTTTCCTTTTTCTTTATGTAGCGCTGATGTAACAATAAACATTAAGGGCTTTTCCTGTAAACTCTATAACTTTGCAAAGAAAGGTCATGTAGAGCTGGAAGATGTTTCATTTTGATCAGAATTTCGCGGGCTACAATTGTGACTTATTCAGAAAAAGTTTTGGAGATTTTTTAAGGTTTCTTGAAAACCAGAAACCTGCTGGGAAAGGCTTATGAGCCAAAATGAATCTCTTATTCAAAATCGGCATGGTCAATTACCTACTACATTTCGTTAAAAAAACGAGAGTACATGTGAGGAGGCCTCGTTAATGCATTTAAAAAAAATTCAATGGCTAAATCGTATTCCATGTCGCATTCCATGTTATAATGAGCCTATCATTTAGTTGATTTCAACAGGACCGAAACTACTGTGAAATTGAAATGAAAATTTTTGATTTAAAATTAAAACTCTTTTATAATGTTCTAATGATCGCAATGTAAGTGTTTTTTATTCTATAACATTCTCCGAAGTATTGATGCAGAGTTATAAGTCGTTCATAACTTTTATATAGTTTATGTTCGTATAATAAAGTTTTTTCACTATATTCTAAACATATGTCATATTTTGCTTTTTGATAACAACATTTACTCATACAATAATAGAGAGTTGAATACCTTTGATGATTAACAGGTAAAAATCCTTGATATGTTTTTAAGACTTTTAAACAATACTCTAATGCTTTATTAAAATTATTTATACAAACATAAATATCTGCTATTGAAGTATATATCACGCCTATGCAAAGAGCAGAATCACTTATTATATAATAATTTTTAATGCTTACTCGTAATGTTTAGCTGCATACCAGTAATTTCTTTAAAATAATATGTTTCTTCCATATTATAATGACAAGATAATAGAGTATGAAAATCTTTCTGAATTACTTTTTTTATTGATTGCTGAAAATAATCAAGTGCAAGATCATTGTTACCTTGTTTCATCTACACCATTCCAATATGAAATAGAAAATTTGCTATATTATTTATATTGACATTATTGTTTTTACTAGCTAAATTATTGGCATCCATAGTATATTTTATTGCCAATTGATATTGTTTCATATATAAATAAGCCATTCCTAAATTCTTATAAAGTTTTAAATTAAATTCGTTATCATCGATTGTTTTGAATTGTATGGAGTATAACAACATGAAATATTCGAGTTCCCTACTAAATTGGAAAGTAAAAGTTTTGTATCTCTGCAAAAACTTGTTCGTTCGTTCTGAAAAGTTCGTCACGTAGAGAATTCGACGTGATCTACAATCTGGCACTACAAAAATGTATTCAAGTAAAGGTTCATAGTGGGTCTTTCAATAACTGGTTTTGATATCACATATCTTCCATGCTGACCTCTCTTTGAGAAAATTTACTGTAAAGAACAAAACCACTTGAGCGAATCTGAGTTTTGATAAGCTAAGACCCCTCGAGTAATTTTTAAAACAAAAAAAAGGGAGAGCAGAGAATGTTGGCAGAAACTATAACAAGACTGTTACTAGTTTAGTCAGAAGTTCTAACAAAGAAGATAGTGATAAACGAAGATAAGGAAGACAATGAAATATACGACAGACGAATAAAAAAGATAATATCTAAAGAAAATTTTCTCTTTTAGCAATGGCTTCACAAAATGAAGCTAATCCTCGTTTTCTGATGTCAGTTCATGATATATCTGAACAAATGTTACGGTCAGGGATATCAAATTTAAAGCATCAAAATCAGAATAAAAAAGAGCAGAAACAAGGCAGAAAAAGTTCCAAAAATCAGAATTTTTCTGCCAAAATCAGACGCTCTAGGATCCCTGGTTACGACCAATAAAAGGCTATGAAACAGAATCTTTAGTATCGCTAGAAGAAGGTTGTCAACCTTTACATGGACTCGGCCAGGACTTATCACAGCGCTTTTGGATTGCAATATGTAATTCAGAAAAGCCTGCAGATGGCTTATCGCAAAATGACTCAGTAGCTGTAAGCTGTAAGTTAGTTTTTTATGCTAGATATTCTGATTCTGTCGATTCATCTATATACACTCGAATGGGATATATCATCGCAAAGTTTTTATGCCATTCTCAATCGAACTTTACGAGAAATCGACCGACAACAACTGAAATCTTGGTTTCAATATATAAAGTTATTTCTTACTGCTCTACATAAACTTCCATCAGTCACCGCCATTTTGAGTCTCTTACGCACGGTACATGTTACGAAACTAGAGATGGGACGAAAGACTACCAACATATTTGTAAGAAATGAATATGTTCTTAGAACATATCTATTTATTTCCGAATTTCCTTCGACTTTTGGACTCCATAAGTGCTCCAATACATGCCCACAGCACAAGAGAAAGACTCTTTCTCTTGTGCTATGGCCATGTATTCATTACTAATGATGTAGACCATTGCGCAATCACTGTGCTGAAGTTGGTGAAAACAACTACTGTTTTTAAACGAATAAAATGATCGCTCTTATTTTACTAGAGAGTCAGATTATAAATGTCACTTTAAACATTTTATTGCTACGCCTGTCACATTAGATACGATAGAAGGGTAATCATCGTTTATTGTCATATTTTAGACGGCAGTGCACATTTTCATTTCATTTGTTTATGATTTATGGTATCAATTGATCTATTAGTCTGTTTTAGATCAATCATTAGCTTGTTTTGATTGATCTAAAACAGATCAACTTCTTCTAAATAATGGCACAGATACTTTATAAGAGAGAGTATGTTACACTTATTGATTCTTACTGCTTTTTGGCGGGATGATAGGGTTTTATTAAATTGGTCGCCCTCAGCGATGGGTCGCGTGCAATTGGCAGACAATCACTTGGTCGACACCACTTGGCCGACACGTCCCTCGATCGACACCACTTTCCCGACAAAATATTGAAGTCCAAAAAAGCCTTTTCCA